GTCAGGGTTTTACAGCCCTTACTTCATCGCCCCCAAGAAAGGCGGTGGCCTTCGGCCAATCCTGGATCTGTGAGTCTTGAATCGGGCCCTTCACAAAGCTTCTGTTCAAGATGTTGACGCAGAAGCGGATCATCATATATTGCAGCCATTTGCTAAAATCATTTAAGTTAATTTTTTTTCCTCATTAATGTACACATAGCACCCCATATTGACAGAAAAACACAGATTTGTTGACATTTTTGCAGATTTATTCAAAAAGAAAAACTGAAATATCACATGGTCTTAAGTATTCAGACCCTTTGCTGTGACACTCATATATTTAACTCAGGTGCTGTCCATTTGTTCTGATCATCCTTGAGATGGTTCTACACCTTCATTTGAGTCCAGCTGTGTTTGATTATACTGATTGGACTTGATTAGGAAAGCCACACACCTGTCTATATAAGACCTTACAGCTCACAGTGCATGTCAGAGCAAATGAGAATCATGAGGTCAAAGGAATTGCCTGAAGAGCTCAGAGACAGAATTGTGGCAAGGCACAGATCTGGCCAAGGTTACAGAAAAATTTCTGCTGCACTTAAGGTTCCTAAGAGCACGGTGGCCTCCATAATCCTTAAATGGAAGACGTTTGGGATGACCAGAACCCTTCCTAGAGCTGGCCGTCCGGCCAAACTGAGCTATCGGGGGAGAAGAGCCTTGGTGAGAGAGGTAAAGAAGAACCCAAAGATCACTGTGGCTGAGCTCCAGAGATGCAGTCGGGAGATGGGAGAAAGTTGTAGAAAGTCAACCATCACTGCAGCCCTCCACCAGTCGGGGCTTTATGGCAGAGTGGCCCGACGGAAGCCTCTCCTCAGTGCAAGACACATGAAAGCCGGCATGGAGTTTGCTAAAAAAACACCTGAAGGACTCCAAGATGGTGAGAAATAAGATTCTCTGGTCTGATGAGACCAAGATAGAACTTTTTGGCCTTAATTCTAAGCGGTATGTGTGGAGAAAACCAGGCACCTGTCCAATACAGTCCCAACAGTGAAGCATGGTGGTGGCAGCATCATGCTGTGGGGGTGTTTTTCAGCTGCAGGGGCAGGACGACTGGTTGCAATCGAGGGAAAGATGAATGCGGCCAAGTACAGGGATATCCTGGACGAAAACCTTCTCCAGAGTGCTCAGGACCTCAGACTGGAACTAAGGTTTACCTTCCAACAAGACAATGACCCTAAGCACACAGCTAAAATAACGAAGGAGTGGCTTCACAACAACTCTGTGACTGTTCTTGGATGGCCCAGCCAGAGCCCTGACTTAAACCCAGTTGAGCATCTCTGGAGAGACCTAAAAATGGCTGTCCACCAACGTTTACCGTCCAACCTGACAGAACTGGAGAGGATTTGCAAGGAGGAATGGCAGAGGATCCCCAATTCCAGGTGTGAAAAACTTGTTGCATTTTTCCCAAAAAGACTCATGGCTGTATTAGATCAAAAGGGTGCTTCTACTAAATACTGAGCATTTTTCAGTTTTTCTTTTTTAATAAATCTGCAAAGATGTCAACAATTCTGTGTTTTTCTGTCAATATGGGGTGCTGTGTGTACATTAATGAGGAAAAAAAATTAACTTAAATGATTTTAGCAAATGGCTGCAATATAACAAAGAGTGAAAAATTTAAGGGGGTCTGAATACTTTCCGTACCCACTGTATATAACCAAGACGTTCTTTTGAACTCAAGAAACATTTCTGATTATTATCAATGTTGAAAACAGTTGTGCTGCCCAATATTTTTGTGGAAACTGTGATACATTTTATTTTTCAGGATTCACAGATGAAAAGAAAGTTCAAAAGAGCAGCATTTATTTGAAATAAAAATATTTTGTAACATTGTTTTTACTGTCACTTTTGATCAATTTAATGCATCCTTGATTTATAAAAGTATTCATTTCTTTTACACACACACACAAAAAAAAAACGGATTACTGAAAATAATATTCTAATGATAATTAGTTCTCAGTAGGCTATTTATGACACACACACGCACACACACACACACACACACTCTCTCTCTCTCTATCAGTTACAGAAATGAATCACCCAAATTCTTTAACAGGATATGCACACATTCTGAAGGAAATATGAGCAGCACCTCAAACCCGAGGCTCTGATTGGCTCCAGCAGGTACAGCGACAAAGAGCTGAAACACATTCCTGCTTTTGAACAAAACAATCCATCATGAAATTAATTACAGAGAGACTGAGTCTGCCAAAAAACAAGAGTAAAAGCTCAAAGTCTCCTGTGAATCAGCAACAGATCAAAATCACATCAGCGCAGAACAGAAGAACCGAGAGCAGAGATGGACATCTAGTGAACACTCAGTGCAACTGCAGTCAGCAGAGACACAGGAGCAGAGACGCCCAAAGAATATACTGGAAGTTAAGTTGATTGAAAAATAAATAAATATTTTAATATATTTGGATATAATGCAACATTTGACTTTGGCCCTCAATCAAGTTTGATTTTTGGCTAACCCTAACCCCAAGGGATAACAAGAAGCAGGGTTATTATAGTTAACTAAAAGTCGTTACTTGAAATAAACAATAACTGATGTCAAACTGGTGTCAAAATTAGCACGTTAACGCAGGCGATACATTTTTTCAGTTTAACGGGTTAAAAATATTTAACGCAATTAACGCAGGGGCGGGGCTAAGGTTGGCCACCCCACTCACAAATGCTGCTTCTGTCACTTTATCTCTTGACAAGAAGTGCATTTATTCATCCGCAGAACAACTGAGAACGGGAGACGTTTCAGACGCGCGCTCCACTTCACTTCAGCGGCAGGCGCGAGTCAAGCGAGCACGGAAACGGTACTGTGCTTGCAGCGCGTGCTCTTCAATTGCACACACAAAGGCGCCGGTGCGCGCTGTAGCCTGTATCCTTTCATATCAAAGCGCGAAATAAACTACGTGCATGCAATGTCGTGGTCAGTTAAGTCATGAAGTTGAAATGGTTGACATGTCTCTCAAATGGTTTTCAAAACTGTCCTGGAGCAGCCCAACCCTGTCTCACTCATCTAACAACCGATTTAACTCGTCAGCTCATTAATACAGACTTTAAGACCTGAAGTGTGTCAGAAAAGGTAAAGAGAGTTGAGGGAAAATATGATGCGTGTCAGATCCGCGTCACATTCAGCAGCGGCAGCTCTTAAAGTAATAGCAGCCAAAACAACCTAATAACCAGCTGCTCTGATGTCTGTTCATCAAAGGACAAACAAAGAAAAGAGGAAAAAATAACTTTTATAGCTTTAAGGATTCATCTATATTTAATTTAGAATTTAGTGATTGGTAATTTCAATTTCTGTATATTTCTGCTGAAGGGCACAGGTAAATATGACATTGATTATAATGGGTTTAGCTGAAGATCGTTTTAAATTTACTTAAATTAGAAGTTATTTTTTGAAGTCTAATAAATGTTAAAATTGATAGCTCTTAATTATACTGTAATGTTGAATGGCTATAGTCAATGGTTAAATAGTGGGGGGGGGGTTATAGAGAAATCAGTATTGGCATCATTTATATTGGCCTTCAGTCATAAAAAAAGATGACATTAAACAAATATTAAAAAATATACTGTATTTGTTGTTTGTACATTAATTTGAAGATTGAATGTGAAATTATTGCAATATAGAAGTATATTTAAAAACTTTAATGTTAGGTGGGATTCATTGCAATTAATTTCAGAAAAATGTGCGATTAATTAGTTAATTTTTTTAATCGATTGACAGCACTAATATATATATATATAAAATACACGTATTTTAGTAAATTGCCAAAGAAACTAAAAAACTAAAACTGAAAATTAATACAAAGTATATATGCCTATTAAAAATAATAATGACAAAAACACAACAAAATTACTAAAACATTACAATTTAAATTGTAAACGCCAAAATTAAAAACCATAATATTACTTCAATGCTACTAAAATAACACTGACAAGAAGCCCGAAAACAATTTAAAACAAGACCAAACACTTCAAAAGATGCAAACTGACATTTTTTATTTCAAGAAATCCTTTTTTCAGAACCAGGATGCTCACGCTCTTGGAAAACCTGAATATATGAGAGAATTTTAAAAGTATGATTTATAGACGTGAAAAAGCCATGGAAATGAATGAAGTCTTAAAAATATATGGACATTTCTATAATGAATATGGATTTTTATAGTTTTGCCAGGCTCTAAAATATTTTATCAGGTAGAAATTGATAAGAAATAGTTTTTGAACAAACAACAAGCTTATACTCTAATCACAAACTTTAAGAACTTTAAGAAGAAAATAAACAAACATGATTTTTTGTCATGTTTAAAAAATCAAAAAGGGAGAACATGCAAACTCCACACAGAAAGGAAACCAAGTAAATTCATTGAGATACATTCAGTTCTTCAGAGGTTTGGAAATCATGCAGTTTATTTAAAATATTCAATACATTGCCTCTCCTAGTTTCTGTAAATAAAAAGTTGAATAATGAGCAGCTTTATCATGACAGCAAAAGTATCTCTGAAATATTAAAAAGAGCAACTGAAACCAGCTGCATGTACCGTGATTAGACACTAATTATGAGCATGATCACATTAATCACAATGTTGTCTACATGAACTCCAACCGTTATAAAGACACATGAAAACAAAACTCCAAACATTATTTTTGAGATCTCACTATCGATGAAGCAGCATGAGCAGATTCTCAAATGACCACAAACATATCGATTTCAACAGTATTTTATTCCAAAATAAAAACTCAAAACAAATCACAATTGCATTTCTCGCTGGTTCAATCCCGTCCCATTACACTCTAAAAACAGTGGACCCCTCTCAGGGTCAAATATAAGAAAAGGTCAAAGGTCAGGCGGAGGGATTTCTGTGGGAGTACCGAACCAAAGCGCTGTTGTGTTTCTGCTCCAACAACAACAAAAAAAACACTGTTTTACAAAGTTACCAAAAGCCCTTAAAATAGTGGACAACTTCTCTTTACTCATTTTTTGTCGTTTTGCATATATAATGCAGAATCAGTTAGTGCCAGAAAAAACAACAACAATAACAATTGTGAAATAACCATTGCAATAAAAATGCATTTATGATTCAAGTAGAAACTTGTTTCAATTCAGTCGGGTTTGTTTTCTGAAGCTCGAGTTTGAAAAGCTTGACATTTTTGAACATTTGATTTTGACCTGGACGTGTGTATGAGAGATTCACGCTACACTATAAATAAACCAAAGTGGCATAAATTAATATTTTGAATCATTTGAAGAAATCAAGATGTTTTAAGGCAAATATTTTTTAATTCTCCCCTTCTAGGTTTTTGAGTCTACCATCTCGGCGCGGGTTTGGTTTGACGAGGGTGAAGCTGATGGCTTGATGACCCAAGAGCTTGTGTGTCGTCTGAGGTCAAAGGTCAAAGGTCGCGTGCTGGTTCTCAGCTGATGAGTTCAAGGGGAAGTTTGGGTCTTATTCCTAAACAACACAAACACAACGTCAACTCGGACAGGCGCTTACGTTTTTCAGTCCGTCGGTGAGTCTGAGACATGAGTTTGGGAAGATGGAAGCTGCGTCACGCAAAACATGTCTGGATCATATTCCACCTCAGGGAAAAAAATCATAAATAAATAACTATTAAAAATATTATTAAAAAAGAAAAATATTTAGCATGAAAGAAAATGAAGCCTATTATGAGGATTATTCATGTTTTTTGCATTGTGATATTGTTCATGGCAATTAAACACATTTAACCCAAAAATATCATTAGTGAAATGTAAAAGAAAATCTTTTTTTTTTAATTTTTATAAATAATCTATTTTCACTACGGTGATCAGAATTTAAAGTAAAAAATGAATGAATGAATTGTCATGAAAAACGTCACATTGCATCTTAATAGTCTTTAAGAAAAAAAAAAAAAAAAGAAGATTTTTCTTGAAATAAAATGTAATGGTTTTTTTTAAGTGAAAAATATGACCCAGACGTGTGACTGGTTCTGTGCGACGCAACAGGGAAAATTCAGTTTTCTGTGAACAAAAGCAGAGCAGAGAAACACAGCATCACAACTCAAACGCTCAAGTACATTTCCATCATGCTTCACACGTCACAGATGCGGTTATGAAGCTGCGAGCGCCACACAAGACACAGCATGAGGTCAGGGATTATTCATGTTTTTTGCATTGTGATATTGTTCATGGCAATTAAACACATTTAACCCAAAAATATCATTAGTGAAATGTAAAAGAAAATCTTTTTTTTTTTGTAATGCTCAATGATAAACATTAGATTCTCATTACTGTAATCAGAAACACAAATATTTTAAATAAGATATTATTTTTAATTGTATTTTTCAGGATTCACAGATTAATACAAAGTTGAAAAAATCAGCATTTATTTGAAAAAGAAATCTTTTGTAACATTTTAAATGACTTTACTGTCACTTTTGATTCATTTAATGTGTCCTTAAAAGTAAAAGTATTTTTTTTATTTTTTCGCATTAAGTAATTAAATGTTAGTG